AGCATCAGAATCTTCTGCTAGTTCTCATGGAGTGTCACTTCAAACAGATTTGGAACAGAAGTATCTCGGACTCGAACTTGGCATTCAAGATAGTACCAGACATGTTTGATGGGCTCCTTGTGGTCTCTTTCTGCGCCATAGTAATGTTATATAAAGGCGTTCTGCATATGGGCGATGACGGTTCGAGAACAGTGAGGCCTGGTGTTGCCATGCATGAATATCGGCGACTAGCAAAGTGATCGTTATCAAAATGTGGCACGATGGCGGAATCCAGTACTTCCTGTTGACCATCGAGTGTCTCGCGCACTGCAATGACATCCAACTTGCAGTCATTAGTTGACTGAGTTGACCAATGAACCAGACACCGTGTCCTCAAGGTTTCTCTGAGCCTGCACCAAGCCAGACGTTGATACCTGTGCCTATCTGTGAGGCAGGGAAGTTCCATTAGACCAGCGGCCTGAAGCTTCTTCTGATGGTACTGGTGGAGAGTCGGACTCCATCTCTCGATTGCTTGCACAATTGTTCGGCATGGGTCATATGACTGCATCGTGCCAGAAAAAAATAATCGTCACGGTTATTGGTCACCCACGGTCTTCCGGATCGTGGTCCATCTTTTTCTTCACCGGTGGCCAAGTACGTCCTAAGAAGTCCACTAATAATCGTGTGGTTAATGTTAAAGTTAGCACTGATAATGCGACTGGACATCCATGCATGCCAATAACTTGCCGTCATGTATTGTCTAAAAATCTACGTCTTGCCATGCATGAATAAGTTAGTTTTAGTAAGAACACATTGACCCGTGGAGATCCGGGTTAGAAGTGATCTTCAGCAACCCATGCTTATCGTAAGAGGCAACTAACGGGATCGGGTGGTCAGGTTCGCTGACTTGGTTGACACATGTCATCGTATCCCAGTTACGTAGATCGGTGCTCATCTTGTTGATCACTGGATTTTCTGCCCAGACTCGATTATTTACAGTCCGCGGCCATATAGCTGGAATATTGCTGAGTGCGGCGTTAAACAACAAAGAAAGAACAACCAATCAACCAACTTTAGACCAGTTCAGAAAACAAGCTGCAAGTATGAAATGTATACCCCAATGTGTGAATTAACATGCTTGCTTTGCGTGTGCATTCCAGTATGCTAACGTACGCTGGCTGGTTTAGACCTGGGGGAGAGTGTGTTTCCAGGACAATCGTAAAATTTTTTGAACAGGACTGTCGTTAGTTGCGCCCGTATTTCAGTTGAAAATGAGAGTAGTTGGTGGGTTGGGTAGTGAAAAGCTCTAGAATCAGGAAAATGTTCCTTTCACCTGGCACACAACCCTTACATTATTTGGACTGGTGGTAAAACTGGCCCGATGCTATCATCGAGCTGGTCACATAACGCCCTGTTTGAAACAGCATCATCATAAGCAACAGCTGTTGGTCATGAGATATAACTGAGATAAAAGCGTTCTCGTTAATTTGTCCAGTAGGCCAATGGCAGAAGGCGGTGGAATGATCTGTCATGATTGATCTGCGAGCTCTATTTAGTGAGGCGGTTATGGCAGGTTTTTGTCACATTTATACATCGAACAATTCCATACATATCTGGATATAGATCCAGCTCAGAAGTGCCCCTGGTGGCAGTGAATTCAAGATGGCCGCCAATTGGGCTAAAATCTCTAATGATGTTAGTCTATGCTCAATATATCAAAATGATCTCGTCATATTCATTGTCCTCAGATAATGTCCCCGGACATAGACTCTGTTTGCAGACCACAGTAACTACCTGCATCTATTATACTTGAGTACAGCCCTGGTGTTTGTTGTCAGCTTCCATTCTAAAAATGTCCTTGTTGTCCTCTGGCGAATGCAAGGGCTCTTGTTAGGCAAATATATTCATCAAAGAGAGAGTATCACATGAAATTATATTGATGCATGACCTTGGTTTCTTGTGGTCGATGGAGTTAATTGCCACGACTCATTGCAGCTCTAAATCTACTTGAAGCACGTCCTTTGGCAGATGCTGAAATTGTTCGATATACTATGAACGATAAAAGTTGTGAACACCATCTAATCGCTGATTTTTCAAAAGTCCCTATTTCAATCAAGGCAAATACTCCAACATCAGGGTCGGTGAGGTGGCCAAATGGTTAAAGCGTGCGCTCGTCACGCTGAAGACCGAGTTCGATTCCCCACATGGGTCCAATGTGTGAAGCCCATTTCTGGAGTCCCCTTCCTTGATATTGCTGTAATATTTCTGGAAGCGGCTTGAAACAATATTAACTCACATCAGAATAGATATCTACTCAACTCCACTGTCTCTAGTACCAACGGTTTAGACGCTGGGCCTGGCCACCCCCTTAATTTGCTCCCGTTGCAGAAATAAAAGTAGGATCGTACTGACAACACAGGTGCCATCTGTAACTGTAGAGGAGACCACGTGCCCTCTTCTAAATCTTGCCCCTTCTATGAGAAGCAGACGAAGATTAATTAATTAGAAGCGACTGAACCTTTTCCACACCAATAAGAAATCTCTTATTGTTCTATTCTAGTCTGACTATATCACGAGTATGTATTTGTTTCAGCAGAATGACAGCTGTACGATGTTGTTTGTAAACAATCTAGGCTGGACTTGAACATTTCATTTTCAAATACCCGTGAAGGTCCGGTTAGAATATTGATCTTCAGTAACCCATGCGTGTCGTAAGAGGCGACAAACGGGATTGGGTGGTCAGGCTCGCTGACCTGGTTGACACATGTCATCGGTTCCCAGTTGCGCAGATCGATGCTCATGCTGTTGATCAATGGATTATCTGGTCCAGGCTCGATTATTTACAGACCGCCGCCATATAGCTGGAATATTGCTGAGTGCGGCGTAAAACTAAAGTCACTCACTCACCTGAAACGAAATCCATAACCCGTTGAAAAGATGTGTGAGCGACGTTATCTTTTATGAATCCTTAGTCTCTCTTGGTGATGGAAAAATATAAAAAGTCAACTTATACATCCTTCACCCCGATTTTGTCATTACGTTTGTTAAAATAAACAAGTGTTGAATGAATGGCTAAAAAACAATTTATCACATACAGACCTCGTCAAATCTGGACTGACAACCCAAGTGGTTGTGAGTGATCGCGATGTTTTTTTGTGTAATTTCATATGTTTGTTGAATTTAAAGATTAAGAAATGGGGATAGTAGCTTATGGACTACTGAGTTTGGTTTTACGCCGCTTTTAGCAATATTCCAGCAACATCACGGCGGGGGACACCAGAAATGGGCTTCACACATTATGCCCATGTGGGGATTCGAACCCGGGTCTTCGGCGTGACGAGCCAACGCTTTAACCATTAGGCTACCCCACCGCCCCAGTAGCTTATGAAAGTCATGTGGAGTATATATAGAGGTTCAAAGATGTTGTGAATCTATACAGAAATATCAAAGCGATGCCATCTCTATATGTTTGAGGTCTCCTAATGCTTTCTTTCTTAACTGTTTATTTTCCATTTTTTGGAAGGTGTTCAGGGTTGCCAAAATGTTGTCTCGGATTCAAGTGGTATCAGTTCCGACACTGGTTCTTGTTCCGTCTCAGTCTGGGAGTCATGTGTAGAAGTCACTTGAGTGAGTGAGTGAGTTTAGTTTTACGCCGCACTCAGCAATATTACAGCTATATGGCGGCGGTCTGTAAATAATCGAGTCTGGACCAGACAATCCAGTGATCAACAGCATGAGCATCGATCTGCGCAATTGGGAACCGATGACATGTGTCAACCCTGTCAGCGAGCCTGACCACCCGATCCCGTTAGTCGCCTCTTACGACAAGCATAGTCGCCTTTTGTAGCAAGCATGGGTTGCTGAAGACCTATTCTACCCGGATCTTCACGGGTCAGAAGTCACTTGAATGAAAGGCTCTCTACTCTTCTGAGGACCAGGAGATTCCTGCTGACATGCACTGTCTACTTTGTGTGTTAAAGCAGCATCTGACAGAGTATGACTGACTGACTGAGTTTAGTTTTACGCCGCTTTTAGCAATATTCCAGCAATATCTCGGCGGGGGGGACACCAGAAATGGGCTTAACACATTGTACCCATTTGGGGAATCGAACCCGGGTCTTCGGCGTGACGAGCCAACGCTTTAACCACTAGGCTACCCCACCGCCCGACAGAGTATGATAATGACAAAGGGACAAAGGCAAACTAAGTTTCATTTTTCACTATTTTGGGGCATCTGAAAGTGAGTTTAGTTTTACGCCGCACTCAGCAATATTCCAGCTATATGGCGGCGGTCTGTAAATAATCGAGACTGGACCAGACAATCCATTGATCAATAGCATGAGCATCGATCTGTGCAACTGGGAACCGATGACATTGGTCAACCAAGTCAGCGAGCCTGACCACCCGATCCCGTTAGTTGCCTCTTACGACACGCATGGGTTACTGAAGATCAATATTCTAACCCAGACCTTCACGGGTGTCGTTTCAGGTGAATGTGTGCCAACACGGAGGAACGTACAACGACGTCGTGTCCAGGTGTGACTGTTATGATGACTTCACGGGACCCTACTGTGAGAGGCGATACAGAGGTGAGTCATTCAACGAGGTTCCAAGTACACCGATTTGCAAGTGTCATGCTATTTGCAAGATTAAAAAATAAGAACAAGTATTATTTCAGTAATCCCCTAACAGGCAATTCAGTGGTCATTCAGCTAACATTAGTACCGGTTGGTAACAGTACAATTAGGCTCCTAAATACAAAGGTATAGCTCTTTTGTTTTGACTATCCCCTGAAATATATTCCGTTTGGTGTAAAGGGGAAACTACATGTGGAAATTATTTGAATGGATTACTGAAAATCAGTGACGATACCAGGTGTTTGCGAAAAGAGAAAGCATGTCCTCCCATGAAGGCTGATTTTCGATTTTCTGTTTGTTAATTCATTTTCCTACGTTACCTAGTTTTAACAAGTATGTGGTCTATATATTTTTTCAGACTGTACAGAGGCCTACAAAGGCGGAATGCGAGGGGGGATATTGGACCATCGAATTACCAGTATCCGGCCGCTGAACGCACCGAGAGAGTACGAAGTGAAATGCCGTCTTGCTTATGGAGGGTCGACGATAGTAGCAACCCGCAGATCTACTTGCCAGAAAGATTTCAACAAGACATGGACTGAATACAAGACTGGATGGACCACGCCATGCAACAGATGGCTCGGACTTGAAGCTCTACACTACATCTCAAACCAACGCAGTGCCACTTTCGATATATACGTGAGTGGAACTGGTGCGCTGGTTGGCCAGTATTACTACTCTGATTTCAAGATTGGGGATGAGGCCAGTGGGTACACTCTCAGCTACATCGGACATTTTAATCACAGCACTGAAGCGTCCGGCAATGGGTTTGAGTACGAAGGAGCAAGCAAGCACATCAATGGTCAGAGGTTCGCCACGTGGGACCGCCCCGACCCCTCGGGATGTGCTATAAGTGGTGGGGCAGGGTGGTGGTATGGGACAGACTGCCCTCTTACAAATCTCCACAAGAAGTTCAATACCAATGCGTCGGCGTCGAACATGGTGCAATGGCCAGACAAGAATGGCGTTCTAGAAAAAGTACATTTTATGGAAACAGAGATAAAGGTATTATGGTAACAGGCCGTCTAATGAGTGAGTGAGTTAATATTTAACGTATTTAACGGCAATATCTCAGCCACATCGTGACGAAAACAATTTATACAATATAAAGTGAAAACATTTTGAAGATTAAAACATGTCGACGATGGACAGTAAAAATACTAGACAATCACAGATATGAATTTAAAACTAGCGAGCAAAGCTAAAACATCCAATTAAAGAAGACAATACAGTATAAAATACGGGCGACCGTCTAGTGAACTGTATTTGCATGATGACTTAATCGCTTTATTCTTCATAAACAGGGGCGTAGCTACGATTATAAAAAAGGCCCGGGTTTACACGTGATTTTTGCTAAAGATCACCTTAAAGCCCTCAATACTGTCTAAATATAAAGCTATGCAAACTATCGGACTTACACGAAACAAGTGTCTTTCTACGCGCCTAATAAAGAAGCAATGCACTAAAGATCATCACACATTGCTAGTACATTTCTGTGTGTGGACTTAATATATGCAGAAGCAGAAAGTTACATTACACAGGTTTGTCAACCCATCCACAAGATTCTTTTTGTGCAAGAGTATTTTCAAAGTTTGGAATTAATTTCATTAAGAGTGTTTCGGATTGCTTTGTTTTCTGTGAGTTTGGGTAGAGTGAGTGAGTTATTGAGCTTTGTTTTCGCCGGTTCTAGCAATATTCCAGCGATCTCTCGGCGGGGGATACACACATTGCACCCATGTGGGGAAACAAACCCGACCCGGGTTTTTGGCGTGACGCTTTAACCACTTGATCAGAGTAATAATGATCAGATTGTACACTTTGAGCACATTGAGCAGGATATCTAGCCTGGAATAGGCACGGTATAAATAATCTCATCATTATTCTCATTATTACTAAAAACATGTTACCTAAGATTGGCAGGTTTCAAATGCATTGCCGTTGGATTTGCAATGGGACCGAACCCCACCAAAACAATACACGTTCTCTACATGAAGGTCGTAAAGCCACTGTTGTAGAAGATGCTGAATCTTTCAGCTGACTGTTTAGTGTCAAAGCCAGGACCACTGAGCAGGTTGGACAGAGGTCATTGGATTGTGCGGCTACAGGATGGAGTAGGGAAGTCATAACACGCCTACTTATCTGTAATTATTCCACTGTGAAAGAAGTTTCAAGCGATGGAAAGAGTGCGAAATCTACCACGTTCAGATATACCAATGGGTGATGACGGTTCAATATTCCTGAACGTTCCTCATCAAAGATTCACCACAGAAAGTGTGCTGAGACACCAAGTACGGGCAGCTATGCATGTAAACGTCAATTCAGTCATCAGGAACCGTCTCTATGCCACCAAGATCAGTTCAAGACCTCCAGATGTAAGACGCTATCAGCTTCGTCATCCTGTTGCTTGATGCACTGTCTATAGTAAATGGAATCAGTACTGATGCTCGCAGGAATGTGGTGGTGGTGATAATTGCTTCAGCCTCTTGTTACAATATGCTGGGGCACTGTACAGGCTGCATCCAACACAGAAGATGCAAAACACATTATTTACATTGTATTCTCTTGTTTTGCTTTGACCCTTGTCATTTCAAAACCACTCAAGAGCCATTGTGGGTATCGACAATAAACACTATGTATCAAAATAGTTTCATAAAGGAAACAACGTTAATTTAACTTCTTTGAGTGGCATATTTAGAAGTTGATGAATCAGATACGGGCAAACTTTTTGGATGAACAACTTTTAATTTGGGAGATGCGACGTTTCAATAATATTCTTATATCGTATGCTTGCTTGACAACGATACAAGAATCTGTATCGAAACGTCGCATCTCCCAAATAAAGAAAGTGTTCATCCATAACGTTTGTCCGTATATAACGTTAATCTAATCAATATTTTGCTCACGCATATTGTTACTGTCTGCCAAGGTGGAAGTAATCTTAACAAATCATTGAAAATTGAATCATTGAGTGATTTCACTATACTTCATACAGAAAATGCATTTGGATCAGCAAGTGAAACATATGATATAAGATGACCCTTCTGGAAACGCTACATTACATCATTACAAGGCAGTATCGAGCTCTTAAAGTTTACAAACCCGTTAGCGAACATGTGCATAGTTTCACTGAGAGGATAATCGGTCTAAATCCCATTAAATTAAGTTTTACAGCAACACATATGAACGTCATTTTAAACCATGTAGAATTAATGAAATTGGCGTTAATAACCCGTGGTATGAGGCGACTAACGGGATCCGGCTCGCTGATTTGGTTGACAGATGGCTTTGTATCCCAAGTGCGTAGATCGAGCAGTGCAGTCCTACGTTTCTTGTTCCCTGTCTGAATTGACAGTATTAATGCAGTTCGATAATATTTTAGCTTCATATGACATTTTGCAAAGACGGCCGCTTACATATTATCCATATTTACAGCCAGAAATTGATTGCTGGGGCATATTACTCCGATGAAACTATTGTCAACGCGTGGATATGCGTCGACTGGGGAATTAGCTTATAATTAAGATGAGGTGTACGTACAATACGTTGACAAGACGAAGGAATACGTTGAGCTCAAACTTCTTTAGTTACATGACAAACAAATACCACAAGACGTAAATGAGGTGAGCGGAGTACCTGCTCAAGCCCAGGGCGTTTCATACGAGCGGCATTATCCTGCTCATAGTTGTCCCAACACAGACAGTCGGAATACCGGACTCGTGCTCAGTTTTTCCCTGTATATGTTAGCATATATATACAGTTCTCGACAACAATGGAAGGGCGACGACTCAACAATGGACTAACAGAAAAACAGTAGCAGTTCCTTGACCAGTTGATGTGATGGCAGAGACGGCCAAGGGGGATGACCAATAAAGATCATAAATGTCATATACAGTAATCAATTGCCTGAAAAGTCAATGTTCAATGTGGAAGTGATAAGGATTACATGGAATACAGATTAGCATCATATAAATAATTACAATAAAATCTCACATGTCTTGAGGATATAGTTTTTTTACTTTTTAAATATTTGGACGATGGCTGTCCTGAATTAGTCACTATAACACTATCATTAAAATCGATTTGACATGTATGTATTTAATGAAGAATACACTTTTTTAATATAGATGGTAAAACAATGGTTCTTCGTCGATTTGTATGTGGACTCAAGCATTGATGTTATCGATGCATTTCATTTGACATATTATGTAACATTCTGAGATTCACCTGAGGTCCAATATTCCTCAGTACAGTTCCAAACTTGTCAGGACTTGAGGTAGTGATTCCAGTGAAATACTGATGTAACACAATTATTTATTGATCAAGTAGCGGTACCAATATCTAAAAATATTCACTATCTTAAGAGTCTTACGCTATACAGTGTTTGTTAAAACATGTATCGAGTAAGATGTTAATCACGCGTCTAGGCAATATAAGTCTTGACCGTTTTTGCAATCTATTAAAAAGAGGCAAGTCCAATTATGTCAAAATATTGGATTTTGTGCCAAACCTTTGTGCCAAACCTTAATAAATGCTTCATTCCTGGTGTTGTGGGCATTTATCACAAGGCAGGTGTTACGTGCTCATTCCCAAGTTGTAACTGAAAAGTGAGTGAGTGAGTGAGTGAGTGAGTGAGTGAGTGAGTGAGTGAGTGAGTGAGTAAATATTTAACGTCACATTGGCAATATCTCAGCCACGTCGTGACGAGAACATATTTGACATTGAAATGGAATATATGTATATGATAAAAACCTGTCTACGAAGGACAGTAAAACAACTAGAATATCACAATTACAACTAAAACTAGTGTGGAAAGTTAAAACTAATAGCACTATTTGGACAATACAATATAAAAACAGGCTATAGATCGCCAACAACTGAAGGTAGATCACCAAATTGGGGACTTACAGTACTTTTGCTACCTGCATGGACCCTAGCTGGATTTATATCATCCCTTCAGCCGCTGGCGATTGAAGTCTAATTTAGCCAAAATTAAAATGACAAGAATACTACATTTAAAGCAGCTGGTAAATTTAAATTTCCTTTGAATGTTTCGGGACTTACGTACCCACTCAGGAGGACAATAATTTTATGCAACTTCAACCCCCTTTGAGGGTACAGCCACTAACAATCTCAGTTACTAATCTAAACTACCAATAATAAAATAAGTATCTATTTACATATCAGTTAACAAGTTTAATTCTTTTAAGAATGCAATAATTAAATGAGAACTTATATTAGTAAAAAGATCCTTCATGGTTCCTGCTTTGAAATAGTTATCCTTGTGATGGAATATTCAACACAGTCAAGCAGGACATGCTTGACCGTGATTCTTTCATCACAAGGGATACAAAATGGAGGATCCTCACCTTTCAATAGGTACTCATGAGTATATCTTGTGTGGCCAATACGACATCGTCGCACGATGACCTCTTCAAATCTGGACTGACAACCCAAGTAGGTGTAACCGATAGTTGCTTTTATTGCATGTAATTTATTGATACCTACTTGGGTGTCCCACTTCTTCTGCATCAGATCCCGGATGTAAGTTCCAATGCCAGCTTTATAATCAGCGTAAGGAACAAGAAGCGGCGTCACAGATTTGTTAAGTGCTGCCTTGGCAGCAAGATCAGCCATTGTGTTCCCAGAAATGCCAACGTGGCTGGGTAACCAACACAAGACGATGTCGCATTGGCCAGCAGCAAGCTCATTATGCAATTCAATGATTTCTTTTAAAAGTGGATGTTTACAAGAAAGATTGTTAATAGCCTGAAGGCAAGAAAGAGAGTCAGAGAAGATTATATATTGTTTATATTTAGGGTGTCTTTGAATATATTTAAGAGCAGTTAATATGGCGTTTGCTTCTGCTGTAAAAATAGAGCTATTATCTGGTATTCTAGAAGATACTGTCCTGGATCCAATGACAGTGGCACATGCCACTGCGCCACCATCCTTGGACCCATCTGTAAATAATGACTTGTAAGTATTATATTTACTTTTTAATTGATTATATTCTTGTT